GCGGTCGGGGGTGACAGGGGTGACCGCGCAGGCGTGTGACAGCAAGGGAGGATGGAGCCGGTCCTGGCGCCTTCACCTCTTCTCTGGAAGCAGCAGAGCTGGGAAGAACTGGGCAGGAGGACTCAGCACCTAGGGTGGTTGCGGTGGCCAAGCTGGATGGAGAAGAGTGGGTGCTGGCCATGATTAAATGTGTTGGTTGTGTCTGGACTCTCCTCGTGTCCCAGCAGGTGATGGGAGCATGAGTGAAAATGAGGGGGATCTTCAACAAGATGGGCCGGAGGCACCCAAACCCTGTGGGGCCATTTCGGACTTTTTCATGAGGGAAGCTTCTCCAGGCTGTGACCAGGAAGTCTCCTGTCCGAGGTCAGACCTTCTCTCCCCAGAGACGGAGCCAGAGCAGACTTCTCGCTGCAACTTCCGGAAGCGTAAGGAGACTGTGGTGCACCAGCGAGCATTCATGGGAGAGAAGCCCTACATCTGCATTGAATGTGGGCAGAGCTTCAACCGCAGCTCCGACCTGATCCGCCACCAGAGGATCCACAGTGGAGAGAGGCCATACATGTGTACTGACTGTGGCAAGAGCTTCAGCCGCCGCTCTCACCTCATCCAGCACCAGCGCATCCACACAGGTGAGCGGCCGTATCAATGCAAGGACTGTGGGAAGAGCTTCAGCCAGAGCACCCACCTGGTGCAGCACCAGCGCAACCACACTGGCGAGAGGCCTTATGTTTGTGCCAAGTGTGGGAGGAACTTCTACCAGAACTCAGGCCTGCTCCGCCATGCCAACTTTCACACGGGCGAGAAACCCCACAAGTGCCCGCAGTGCGGGAAGCGCTTCAGCGACAGCTCCAACCTCATTGCTCACCAGCGGCTCCACACAGGTGAGAAACCCTACAAGTGTGCTGACTGCAACAAGTGCTTCAGTGAGAGCTCTAAGCTGGTCATCCACCAGCGTGTCCACACAGGCGAGAAGCCATACTTGTGCCCCGACTGTGGAAAGAGTTTCAGCCAGCGCTCGCACCTTGTTCAGCACCGTCGCACCCACACTGGGGAGAAGCCCTACAAATGTGCCGAGTGTGGGACCTGCTTCAGTGACAACTCTACCCTCATCCGTCACCGTCGTATCCACACTGGGGAGAAACCTTTCAAGTGCTCCCGCTGTGGGAAGAGCTTCAGTCGCAATTCCTATTTAGTCTCACACCAACAGGTGCATGTGTGGTAGGCTGCATCACTAGGTGTGGTCTTGGGGTGATCTGAGATGCAGCTCCTAGTCCAGGCTTGACCAAAATGGGCCTAAGGGACAAAGAAGTGGACAAGGGTGTGACCACACCAGGGCCCCTGGATTATAGGCAGCTGGCAACAGTAATGCATTTGGCCCATATTGCCCTTTACAGTCACCTCCTCCTCCCATCACACCTTGGGCATGTGAGCAGTGTTTATGGTGGATAGTTCTGCATCCCAAGGCCCTGTGACCCTCTTGCCTTGGTACTAGAATCAGATGCAATCTGCCACATGGCCAAGGTGCAGATGTTTTCTCCCACCTCCCCATGAGGTGTGTGCCTGGGAGCCTGAGGAGAGAGTGTCAGGTCACATGATGAGTAGCTGCTTGATCATGCAGCATACGCATGTGTGGTCATGTCAAGGGAAATAAGATGGGACACAGATGCTTTAAGGGGATTTTTTCCACTCCTAGCTGAAATACGACCTGTATAATGTTGCACAGGTCTCTGGAAACTCACCATGCTTGTCTAAGCGAGCTCTGTGTCTCATACAGCAGTCAGGAAGGTCAAAGCTAAGTGTCCTGCAGAGAAGCCGAAAATTCTGTGTTATGAATACATAGTGTGTGGGCCAACTTGAAGCACAGGCAAACACCACTTTAGTCTGCTTGTAAAAGGAACATGTAGGCATTCCCTGAACCAGAGAAGGAAAGCATGCCTCCAAGAGTTTTCTGCAAATGCTGGTAGGAACGAAGGAGCTGCAGGATAGGAGCATGGCCTGTTCTGGAATCTCAGAACTGGTGGGTAACTGATGTGGAAAACTATCAGACCTGGAGGGTTAAAAAACAATCAGAATTATAATGGCTGCTGCTAAAATAGTGGTATACGATTTGACAGGTATATGGAGATTGCCTGTGAGTTTGTACCTCATCTGCAGAATTTGGGTTCACAGATACAGTTCAAGTGGGCTGGTGTAAGCTGTGTTGCAAAATGAGACAAAACAGCATACTGGGACTCACCTGATTCCTTATCAGTATTTCTTAAGTCCTATTTTGACCAGTGTGTGTGGAAATAACATCTATGTGTATGTGTTCACATATGTGTGAACTAGCTTTTATACTAAGTGTATCTTCAGACTCCCATGTGAGCAATCATACGTGCACACACCATGGCAGTGTTCAAAATGGGCAGCTGTACAGCACTATACCATATCAGTACTTCTCAAAATGCTAAACATACTGTATATCCTAGCGTTTCTCAAGAAAAAGCTGGGAGAAATAGGTTTTTTTACCAAAACACCTAAATTTTCATATCAGGACATTCAGTTTTACACTGATTACTTTGTGTGTGTCTGTGTGTGTTTAAGATCTGGAATTGAGTTGGTTTATTTATATATATATAAATGTGTGCCCCTTATGGCTGTGAGGAATGACTTCTAAATGTAGATCAGCATAGTGCTCTGCCCTCTGTTTTCCACAGGTTCGTGTCAGTGACAGTTGTAGGATGTACCTCCCCTCATGGTTTTGACTACAAGGAATTGCTGTGCAACACTTTACATTGTTTATATTTTTGAGTGTTTTGCTGCTGATCATTTTAGTGACAATACTTGACTGGTGTGCTTATCCAGCACTGCTGGAGCTTAGAAAAGATTTCTGGTTTTTCTGTGTACCTTACTAATCCTGCAGCTGGCTCCATCACTTCAGTAGGTCTCTGGGAAAAGGAATGCAGACTGAAGCCAGTAAAAGGACTGGAGCTGTGGTGTAGAAGAGATGAAAGAAATACAGATGCTGAGAAGATCTATGGATTTGAGCAGCTGCTGGCCAGGGTTGCTTGTGAATGGCTTACTCTACGGAACTTGCTACTCTCCAATGGCTTGCAGGGGTCCTTTCTGCAGGCCTCAAGCCACTTCTTGACACTCAACTGTTGTTAAAATGTTATATTAATGCAGTTTAATAAAAAGGAGCTATAGGGGGAGCATGAAATTGCTCTCAGAGGAATAAGGTACCTTTATATGCAGCTGCTCAGGGAAGTAGAAGGAGTTTTCAGAAATGGGGTGGGCTTTGTTTATGCAGGAACCAAAGCCTTCGTTTGCAAGTGCACATTTTTGCTTTTAGCTTTGTGTTTGTCTTTTTTTAATGAACAGCTTCAAACCAATGACTTCTTGATTTCTGTTCTGGAAAGTGGTTTGGAATTAATGGTCATGTACTTGGTTCCAGAAGTGTCAAGATTTTAATTTGCTAGCAGACTTTCAGAAGGGATACTACAGCTCTCAGTTGGTAGGCTCATTTTTAACCAAATTCAAAGGTTACGCTGCAGTCCAGCTGTAGAACTGATCAGTTTGTGTGGGTCTGTCTCCATTCCAGTTTAAATTTCCTAAAGGAAGTCTACAGAGCTAAAACTGCCTGTTTGGCTGAGAAGCCCTGTTTGCCAGGGAGAGGCATTTTGTGAATGCAACTTTTCTTTTGGCAATCTGAATGGAGTCGCTGTAGCAGATCAATGAAATCAAACCCAGGTCTGCACATAGCTGAGCTCAACTCAAAGGGAAACCCTCACATTGAAATTCTGGTTTGAGAAGCCAGCTGTATATGCCTTTGCAGCAGTCCTCAGAGCATTTTTTACTCTTTTACATGCTTTGTGAAGTGCTGTGTATACTTAACAGTGCTCCACAAATTAAAATGATTGATGTGCATTTATTTGTAAGATCTTTGTGAAAAACTGTATGCCAAATCAAAGTGGCCTTAGGGTTCACAGCACATTGCCAGTGCAGTCTAAGTGGATAGGATTGGATTGCTCAACAGTGTAAGCACATTTCTGGAGTTCCTTTTCACAGCCACTGTTAGTTTTCCCTGTTCAGTGTCACTTGGCTGAAATAATTCACTTTCCCTAGCCTGCCTGCCTGTTACTGTTTGTGATGGAGAGGAGAATCTGGGCACCACATATCCTGTGCTGTTGCAGATGTTACAGGGTATGTTCCTCCTCTTCCAGGGATTTAATTGCTTTGTGAGCAGCACAAATTTATAAGCCAAGTTCAGAAGGCAGAGGTATGGGCATGTGCAAAAAGTCAAGAACCAGAAGGTTTCCTTTTCACAGCAGCTATCTCATTGGCTTCTCCACCAGCCATCTCCTGCCTCAGGATCATAGTGGGAGACTACTGAAAAAAAGCAAAAGGTAATTAGCTACTATAATTCCAGCAGCCCATCCCTAGCGCGCTCCATGCCAGACCCATGGTCACCAGCTGGTGCCCATATCCTCCTGCTAGCTGAGGGAGCTCTGTAGAATACTGAAAATTCCTGTTGTGCTGATGGTGCTTAGATACTACAGTGAGACACTGGCACTTCAGAAGTACCTAAGATAGTCAAATGGATGAATGGCCTCTCTGAAATATTTTTTTTCACCCTAGTGTTCTTAGTTATCCCATCTTTTTTTCTTTCTCCCCAGAGTAACCTCCTGAGCATCAGTTCTTGGCCCCTGGCAGGACCAGGTTTGGCAATGCATGTGTCACCCTTCGCAATGGGTTTGCTGCTGTGCACTGCCAATCACAGAATCAGAACAGTAGGGGTTGGAAGGAACCTCTAGAGATCTCTAGTTCAACTGCCCCTACTAAAGCATGTTCACCTACAGAACAGGTGCACAGGTAGCATCCAGGCTGGTTTTGAATCTCTCCGGAGGAGACTCCACAACCTCTCTGGGCAGCTTCTTCCAGTGCTCTGTCACCCTCAAAGAAGTTTTTGCTCATGTTGATCTTGACCTTCCTGTGTTCTAGTTTGCCCCTTATCCCATCACTGGGCACCACTGAAAAAGAGTCTGGCCCTATCCTCCTGACACCCACCCGCCCTTTAGATATTTATGAGCATTAAGATCCCCTCTCAGTCTCTTCCAGACTAAACAGACCCAGCTCTCGGCCTTTCCTTGTAAGAGAGATGCCTCATTCTCCTGATCATCTTAATAGCCTTTCTCTGGACTTTCTCCAGTAGTTCCTTGTCTTTCTTCAACTGAGAAGCCCAGAACTGGAGACAGTGCCCTAGATGTGGCCTTGCCAGGGCAGAGTAAAGGAGGAGGCTAACCCCCCTCGACCTGCTGACCCCGCTCTCCTTAATGCACCCAAGGGCTCATGGTTAACTTGTCCACCAGGACTCCCTGGTCCTTCTCCACAGAGCTGCTTTCAAGCAGGCCACCCCCTAACCTATACTGGTGTGTAGGGTTATTCCTTCCTAGATGCAGGACCTTACACTTGCCTTTGTTGAACTTCATTAGGTTCCTCTTCACCCAGCTCTCTAGCCTGTCCAGGTCCAAATAAGAAATCTGGGGGTGAGGATACTCTTAGAATTGTCTTCATTTTGATCTAATGTTTCTGCACTAATTTGAAAAGCGAGAGGATGGCACACAGTGCTTACCATTCCTTTGCAAGAGAAAGTGGCAGAAACTTATTCTGCAGTGTGACACCATCCTGGTGGTAGATGAACCTGGTTCTAGACCTGCAGCTGCTCTGAGGAGATTATCTTCCCAGCTCTGTCACCTGGGTTGTATGGGATCTAGTTTTCTAGTCTCCTGCTGACAAAATATGTATAATAATGATGACTGATATGCAACTTTTACATTCCTCTTCACTTCATTGTTTATGATTGGGAAAACAAATTTCTTCTGATCCTGGACAAGAGGTATGTTTTGCCTGTTTAATAAATTTTAAAAAGTATTTTATGTGTAATCTCTAAAGCACTTCTTGAGATCTATCAAACGAACAAAAGTGCCCCTGCATGACAGCAAACTGTTCTGTTTCCTCCTTACCCTAACAACACTGGTCTGAATAGCCAAAGACACAACAGCAGGAGGCCCTGTCTCTGAAAATAAGAAAAATATAGGATATTTCAGTAGGTGGAGCAAACAGAGGCCAAAGAGGCATTGCAGAGTAGTCTGCTTTGCTGCTTATGCCCTCATGTCCCAAGCTCTGAAGGGCCTTTAGCCTTTCCGTGCCAAACCTGATATGTCTCACAAGTGCACTGA